AAGTAGTAATTTGGAATGGAGTATTTTTTGAGTAACTACCCCACCACTGGTCGGTGATGGGTCAGCTTCTGTCATAACCAAAGTTTTTTGGTTTTTGGAGGAGATTGTATGTGTAGCTAAAAACTTTGAAAGGCTAATTTTGGAAAAAATGCACCTACTGCTACAGACTTTAGAATAGTAATATTGAACCTACAAGTTTGAGGATTGTCATATTCTGACAACTGTGTCCTCCGCACTTTTAAAATGGCTGCTTTGCCCCTGCATTAGCAGCAGAGAAAGAGCCAGTTATAGGATTTATTTGTATGTGTGTGTGTGTGAGAAACAGAGGGGTAGAGTAAACGACATGAGAGAGAGAGAGAGAGAGAAAGTGCATGTTAGAACTGGCTGTGGGTTCTGAAGGTTTGTGCAGTGGTGTCTTTGGGGGCAGCAGTCTGGGGGGTGGGTCAGCGGCCATCTGGATTGGATTGCCGACATTCTTTCGAAGTAGCGTGTGAGTAAAGGTCAGCAGGGTGGAAAGAGTTTATGGATAAGTGTGATTTCAAGCATGTGGATGACTGTGAATGTGTAGGATTTTGTTCTTTTAAATCTCAGAGTATATCCACAGACAGAGGCAGCAGAATGTCCAGCTGTTCCCTTCGATGTGCTTAAACTCATAACATGGCTTGTAGATGTAGACAGCAGTACTGGTGGGTTTTTTTGCGTATATTTTCATACACTGCTTTGGATCTGATTATGTCCCTGTGGGAAAACTACTACTTTTTTAGTCAGTCCCAAAAGTTTTTGAACAGTTTTTGATAAAACTAGAGATGGCATGAAACCACCTTTTCTTTTCCAATATCAATAATGAAACTTTGAGTATCTTCAGACACTGATACCAATCAAATATTTTTTTCTTTAAAAGCTGCTAAGCTTTTTAGCTTTTTAATTGAATCACTTCACTTAAGATTAGCATCTGAAAGTAAGCTATGACGCTTAAACCACTCAATCACTCTGCTACCCCAATGGAAGAACTACACAGCTAACAACATCACATCAGAGAATTGGATCATATACATTCTTTTCTCCCTCTGATATCTGATTTGGCATTTTCTGCTGATATCAGCCCAATACATATTGATACAGATGTGACGTTTGTATTTAAAGCCCTCATGTTAGAAAAAAATCTTGTTATAATTTTAAATAGTTAGAAATTCAGCAGTGGTGTACTCAATTTCATATTATGTATTAGATTTAACATTAACATTTGCCAAACGTACATAAGTTCTTTCAGAAACTTTAAGGAAATAAGTTGAAATGTAGTTACATTATTTTAAAGTATGTACACTGTGGCAGTGGTGGACGAAGTGCACAAATCATGTACTTGAGATAAAGTAGAGATACCCAAGGTAAAATATTACTCCAGTAAAAGTAAAAGTCCTCCCTTTAGACCTCCACTTGAGTAAAAGTACAAAAGTATTTGCTTTCAAATGTACTTAAATATCGAAAGTAAAAGTACTGAAAGATTAATTATGACTCTAATGTCCTATTACCATTTGTAACAAGATGCTTCATTAACTCATTTTTGTTGAAAATACTCTAGTGTCGCTCTTGGTAAACCAATCTTTTTAATAGAATGTCATTATTAAAATGATCATAAGCACAAAACACTGAAGGCAAACAATTTCCATTAGGTAGAACCAAGTGGCCATGAAATAACTTTTTGCAAACAAGTTTCGGTTTAAGATTTATTTGCAATTTAGTTACAAGTTTAAGTTTAATAAAAACTTGCTTTAAACACAGGTTTACAAACGAGTTTTCCTTTACTATATTGCATCTGTAGGTCTCTGAGCAAAAACAAATTTAATATAATTTAATATAAAATGAAAGGGTTTGTATAAATTCAGAAAAAAGACACATGCCAGTCACAAATGTATATGTGTACATATTTCTATATTGTGGACTATTTACCCACAAAGTTTTAGGTTAGTTCCATCATTTACGTAGGAACAGGCACTTGCAAAATTGTACGCTGCTGCACTAATGTTGAACTGTATGCTTGCACTGGGTAGGTATGTCCAACAGGTCAAAACAAGCTCAAAACAAAGTGCGCGCTGTACCCTGATTGGCGTGCTTGCTTTGCACTTCTTTTGTTTTGACATGTTACGTTTTTATACACTCATAAGCCAAAAGGAACGACAGATTTTGCATAATGTAGTGGAGTAAAAAGTAAGATATTTGACTTTGAAATGTAGTGGAGTGAAAGTAAAAAGTCACCCAAAATGGAAATACTTCAGTAAAGTACAGATACACAAAAAACTACGTAAGTACAGTAACGAATTACATTTACTTCGTTACTGTCCACCATTGCATAGTGGAAGTCTTTTTGTTTTCTGTGTTGTTTCCTGTGTCAAGCACTTTCACACCTCAGAAATCAATCAATCATATGATCAGTCCAAGAAGAAATACCCACGCATAATAATTTGTCTTGCTGTCTCATCTTTTAGTACCAGTGATCCTAAGTGTATAACTGTCTCTGTCTTGCAGCAAACCAGTTACAGACATAATGTCTCAAACCATGCAGAGTTATGCCAAGTGATTTTGGAAATACTTCATGTCACACCCACACAATTTTCTGTGTAATTAATCCATCTAATGTAATGGATGACCAAACAGTATGAAATAAAACTCATGAAGTCAAAATACTAGGAAGGAATACTTCGTACAAAATTGCATACATGCAATTCAGTTTGGCAGTTCCATACTAAATCAGTGTTGTTCTGATAATGTCAGTTAATCTAGACATAATTCCAGTAAATCTAGACACACTTCAAGTAAGTCAAATGTACAATGTATCCATCAAATTTGTACTATGAAATAATTATCTACATTTTAGGTTAATACTATTCTTATACCTTTTTATCTTTAAAATGTGCATAATATGTATTGTTAACAAGTCAATTATAAAACTTATCACTCAAACTTATGTGTTATTCCATGTACCGTGGAAGGCAACTGGCACATGCAAAATTCATGTAGTTCTGAAAACACATTAGTTGAAACAAAAAGTAGCTGTAATCGCAAGGAGGTATATATTTGGGCTGTAGATCATAGTCACAGGCCACAACTTGGGTCAGAAAACAAATAGATGGTGTCAAAATTGGCAGATCCACAATCACTAGCAGAATAGGAGCAGAGAGGGACAGAAGATCAATGACACAACCACAGCTAAGTGTAGTGGCTTCCCATTTTGTAACCTAACATCTGCATGTATGGAGGATAATGTACACATGGTTGTCACAAGAAGTATGATCAGTAGATGATGACAAGTACAGCCTGACTGATTACAGTGGTTACAGCAAAAATGCCATCAATAATTAGTGACTTTTTGTTAACGGCATCACCTGAATTCAAATTCATGATGTCTGATGATAAAGCAAAACCTTAGACAGTTGTGCCTGGTGATTACATCTGACACCAAATTTTTGAAGCATATGTTAAACTGAAGTACTGTGCCAAGGCATAGCCATACAGAGCCATAGTTGCACAAGCACATCTTTTGCCATGTATACTTAGCCATCCACTCTATGAACAGAGGAGACCTGATCTACTAACAGCATCTTCCTTAACTGCACAGCATATTATTATTATTTTTTTTATATTATTTCATTTGTGAGAAACAGAACAGTTGAGAACTGGCATTTATGTCAGTCAGTAAAGCACTTTTTAAGTAAAACTATAGAAATATAAAATTCAAATCTAAAACTTTAAATAAAAAGTATGAAACTGTATCAGCCAGTAGGCTTGTCACAGTCAAGAAGTTTTAGCTGACGATTAATTGCCATAAAAATAATTGCACTTCAACAATTTCAATGACTTTTTGGTGGGTAACGCTGTCACTTCACAGCAAGGCCTGGGTTTGATTCCTCAGATAGGAGACCCTCTCTGTGTGGAGTTTCCATGTTTTTCCCATGTCTGTGTGGGTTTCCTTCGGGTGCTTCGGTTTCCTCCCACAGTCCAAAGACATGCAGTCAGGCGAGTTGGAGATGCTAAATTCGCCCTAGGTGTGAATGTGTATGTCTGTGTGTCTGCTCTGTGATAGACTGGCAACCTGTCCAGGCTGTTTCTTGCCCTCCGCCCAGTGACCGCTGGGATAGGCTCCAGCACGCCTTGCAACCCAGGAGGATGAGCAGCCAAGTGTGTGTGTGGACAAAGTGGTCAAATGTTACACACAAAGTATACTGAGTATTGTCAAATTCTTAGTTGCTCCCAACTGGCAACACATTTAGATTGAGCTTAAATAAACAAACATTAATCACTGCTGCCTTCTAAAGGTTGTATAGCACCAGTCAGAGGTTAGTACTGCTGTTGTTCATGTTATGTCATAAGACTAATGACGTGCCTCAATAATTTTTTTTGCTTTTATTTATTTACAAGCTTTTGTCTTAATCCAACTGATAATAACACACCTATTTCACATTGTACTTGCTGTGATGTGAACATATGGTTGGTAAAGCTCACTCTGGAAAATAATTACGATCAGCTTAAAAAGTTTGTACTGATTGTACTGATTGCTAAATTGTCATATCGGTTAGGTACGTAATGACAGCTCAAGGTTGCAAATCTGGTCCTCGAATCCAAATCTGAGCTTTGTTTTTTGCAATCGCTGCTTGACCACTTTGTCATCACACTTGAGGGTGGGTGGGAAATCTGTAGTATGGCTGTTATTTGAATGGTTTATGCAGAAAACCTAGTATTTATTTTACATGATTCATGTGATTCAAAACATATATACATGAAATTCCGGGCATACACTCAATATAATTTCACAGAGAGAGAGAGTTAATGGTGTTGCAGTTGTAACATTTTTGTGATTGATTCAGTGAGTCATCATAGCCATAGTACATTAATGAAAGAAAGTAAGCTGTGACCTGTCACCATTATGTAAATGGGATCATACTAACTGAATCCAAAATTTGTGGGTCAGCCATTGTATTAGTAATCTTTGTTTTCTGTTCCTGCAGGTTGGAGGCCCTGGGCTGCAGCTATGCTCTCCTTGGACGAGCCATTGGACCTGAAGCTGCACCGGGGGCGTGCAAATGGACGGGACAGGAGCTCCAGGTCACCACCCACTCTCACCCCATCTCCAGTACATGCTAAGAAGGCTGGGCAGCTGCGAATGGCTGATGATGGGACAGCCGTCATTGTTCCAGCCTCTCCTGCCTCCCCTCACACAGGTAAACTTTCACAGAGAAGTTCTGCCTTACACAAACCAGGTCTTTTCCAGCTATCAAATGAAAATTAAACAAATAACTGAAAAGTTGCAATAAAAGTTGCGCTACGTTTGTGCAAGAGTGTAAACTACTTAATAAACATTTCAGCAATTGCACCAGAAAATTTGCTGGCAGGCACCATGTGTTCTTCTATCAATAAAATCAGTTTTTTGTCTCTGATAAGATAAAGTTTCTGTCTCAGTCCACTGGTAAATGCTGCCTTCTGTCATGTTTTGTAGCTATAAAAAAAGTCATGAAAACACTTGAAAAGTCATATTTCTTTTTTTCACATTTACTGTGTTTATTTGGCAAATGCATTTCCATCATGATTTAATTCATTTTTTAAAAAAAAATATCCACCTTTAGTGAGTGTATAAACACATTTATACAAAGTTTGGTGATTCTATTAAAATTTTGCTTTTTCCATCAAGTCTTATTTATTCAATCTCTCGACTTCTTTTATACCATCTGTATTGCACCAGCAGAAACTTCAATCAATTATTTGTGGTGCGTATACCAGCGAGAGTGAACAATTTGTAATTAACAGCAGATCAGGTGCATGGGGTCCTCTGGGTGCTAAGGTTTCCTCCCAAAGACATGCAGACAAGTGAATTAAAGATGCTAAATTGGCCCTGTCTGTGAGTGTTAGTGAGTGAAAGTGTATCTCTGTCTGACCCAAGAGGATAAGTGGCTTAGAAAATGTGTGTGTGTGTGTGTGTGTTACAACATGCTGTCCAGCGTTATACGCAGAAGGCTGGGAGCACATGCAATCAGTTGTCAGATGATGGAATTTAATAAACAAGTAGAAACAGTTGTGCTCCTGCTTGATTGGAATGAAAACCTGCAGCCACATCAGCCTTTTGTGGATAAAATAGAACACCTCTGCATTACTGTATGGTTATGTTGTTTCAACAAGGAATTTCACCTCAGATTCTTGAAAAACATTAGTAAAAACGTTTTTAGTAATGTAAACCTATGTACTATTGGTTGTAATGTACTACATTGTAATGTAATGCATAGTTTTAGCATAGCTCTAATGTCAGTGTAATACATTGATACAGTGCATAAGTGGTACAGTGGTAAATGGTAATGTAAAGCCCTGAAGTGTTGACCACTCAAATATGTGTGCTTGCAGGTATTCCCATGGTGCCCCAGGAGAAGCCTGAACCCCCCACGCCCCCCGCAGTGGACCTCAGCATGTCCCCTTCCTCACGCCACACCGCGTGCTCCACTGAGCTCGCTAGTGGAAACGGCTCTTCCCACATCTTTCCAGGAGTGAGTGGCACATGCCTCAAGTCCTAAAATGGAGCAGCAATAAGCTGATGTTGCTAATGGCAAATAAAAACCTGTAGGGACCATTTATCATCATACAAATAAAATCATGCTGACTGGCTGTCAGTCACTTTTATGAGAATCACATTAGCATATTTAGGTGAAGTTACAGAGCTGGATAAATCAGGTCTTGCTCTTTTAGAAAGATCTTTATTGGTAACATAGGCCCTCTCAGAGGATAAAGAACTGTGAAGCAGCATCATGGCTTAATGAGAAGCTCCATGCTCAAACTTTGACTAAGACACTGTTTGGATTTTGCATGCAGGGAACATTAGGTACACAGGACTGCTCTTACCAGCCTCTCTACACATGAAACCATGAGCACTGGCCTCAGTGACCCAGCCCAGCCCTCTGGGAGAGGAGGGGGACTGTTATTAAATACCCCCTGTGTCCTCTCACACAAGTGCTTCTCTCTCTTTCTTTGCCTCTCTCTTGCCCAGCTGATGGGATGCAGGGGTAAATCGGATTTGCTGTGAGATATGGCCATGCAGACCTCACGCCGCCTAATTCAATTCTCTCCCAATTGAATTGAGGGCCTGCTGGCTGTGCTCATTCAGTGGTCTGAGCTGCACAGCATCGTGTGTCAGATATGCTCTTCAGCTCTCACCAATCTCAGCATCCCTACTGCCACCCCTCAGATGATGGCTCATATGAGCTATAGGGGAGTCATCAGCAAGTTATGAGATTTGTCATACGCATTTCTCACATTCACGTTCAGCACACTCAGACATCCACTGTGTTGTCATTTAGTCAAAACCATTTCTGTTTTACAGGTTTTCATGTTCTGCCTTCTCTCCCTTAGTGTAACTGTTATATGCCACCAATATTCAAATCTAGAACTATGTTTTTACTAGTTATCTGATTTATTTAACATGTTAATGTCAAAATATGATCAATGTCTAGAAATGTAATACCATAAAGCTACTTTTTAAGTCAATCAAGTTATTGTAAAAATCTATCAGTGCCTAAAAAGAAGAGTGAATGTGTTTACTAGCTATTTTTGTGCCATCACATCATATGCAAGGACAATTATGTGTATGGGATACTTTTCAAGATAAAAAAAATTAATTAGTATTGCATTTCATTGCAGCCAATCAGACTGGCTATGAGGGGGAATTAGCTCTTAGCAGCACAGCTGGGAGGCAAGTCGTGTTATGAGCCTTAGCATGTAGAAACATGCTTACAAGAGTCTCATGTTGTGAGAATGATAAACACAATCTTATGTAGAATTGGCTTTTACCAGAAGTAATGGTGAGATGGAATCAAAAAAGTCTAAATATGTCTTAAACTGCCTTTCATTTAATATGTCTCTCTTGGACAGGACTCGGGTCACATCCGTTATGTCGAGGGAGGGGCTTCCTCTCAAGCCTTTCAGTTTTTTGTTCCAATTGGTGGTGGGGCAGGGCTCCACCTCCCATCCTCCATGTTTATTGGCCAGCCCAAGGACAAGCGGTCCTCTCCTGATCTATCAGCAGATGAACAGCTGTCTTGTCGTTGGAGGAAGGTGAGAAATAGGAACTATAGTGGCATGAAAACATCTGTTGACCAAAATGCAGAAGTTACTTTCTATATTTAATCCTCCTTGTACTTATCTTAAGTTCATTTAATGTGTGTTGGAGGATTAAAAGTTTAGATCATTGGTGTCTTGGAGTCATGGAAGGTATAATTTACTGTTTTCCATGGTCTAAAATAAATAATTAAACTCATAAATAAATTGATTAAAATATTTAGCTGAATTAGGTTTGCTAGACTGCAGAAAACTTTGTGCTCCATGCCATCCCTGTTTTATATTAACACTTCCCTAACTCTGGACATCTTTTGCAGTGTCATTTGCTTTTCGACTCTTTGCAAGACCTGGTGGACCATGTAAATGACTTCCATGTCAAGCCTGAAAAGGATTCTGGGTATTGTTGCCATTGGGAGGGCTGTGCACGCAAAGGGCGGGGCTTTAATGCAAGGTAAGAAGTGTCTTCTTTTTTCTTAGGGACAATATATTTCACATAAAAAACAATAAACAGAGTTTCATGGCTAGACAACAATGTCTGTCTCTTTAGGTACAAGATGTTGATCCACATTCGCACGCACACCAACGAGAAGCCCCACCGTTGTCCTACTTGCAACAAGAGCTTCTCGCGCCTGGAGAACCTCAAGATCCACAATCGTTCACACACAGGTCAGTATTGGAATATTATAAATTTATTTTTTTCCCTTCTGTTGTGGGATCAAGCTCAGTCATCCTCACCTGGTTTGCTGACTCCTCTGCTCTGTTTCAGGAGAGAAGCCCTACATTTGCCCCTATGAAGGCTGCAACAAGCGCTATTCCAACTCTAGCGACCGCTTCAAGCACACGCGCACCCACTACGTGGACAAGCCCTACTATTGCAAGATGGTGGGTTGCCTGAAGCGATACACAGACCCCAGCTCTCTGCGGAAGCACATCAAGGCCCATGGGCATTTTGTAGCCCAAGAGCAGTCGGGTCCTGGCAGGGTGGGTTCCCTGGTGAAATCAGCCCAGATTGCAGGAGCAGGGAAAGAATCTGAGCTGACCTACGTCAGCGGAGCCCACATCATCATTCCAAGTGCTGCAGCTGCTCTCCTAGGTGGCCACAGCTTACAAGGCCTGGGGGCTTCCCTGCCACTGTCACCCCTTAGCCCCCAGCCTCTAGACTTGAGCTCTCTTGGGAGCCCCAGCTCCCCTCCAGCTGGTCTTGCTGGAACCCCAATCCTGTCTTTCAACGGCTCACCACTTGGCCTGGCCAAGTCACCCCTGCTGTCTCCTGCCTTCTCATCCTCAGCCCTGGGCTTGCCCATGGTGCCTGTGCTGGGCTCGGACCGTGGAGGGCACAGCAAGGGCAGAGGCAGGGGTGAGGAGGGAGATGATGAGAGGCCTGGGGGTGTGCTCAACCTCTCCACAGGAGCATCTCATGATCCTCTGTCTTGGGTGGTCATTCCTTCAGGCCCAGTCGTGCTGAAGCCAGCTGTGGTCAACTGATTCCCTCTGCATTCCAGAGGAGGGGGCAGCACAGGTGTCAGAGGTGAGGGGCAGGCCCATGTTGGGGGGTGGGGGTTTTCCACAATTGAAAAGCAGTCTGCACTTCTCTCTGAAGTGATACTATCTCCTCCGATTTACCTCCTGCACTGTATTTCATTTCAGTTGTAAGTTGTACTGTTGTTTTCAATTGAATAGTTATTGATACAACTGGGACCAGCATCTAATCAGAGACTTTAAATAATAGCTATAAATATCAATGGGAAAAAAAAGACCAGCCGCCAAATGTTCACTGATGGTCTTCATGCTTTCTGTAACTGACATTGTCTGACAATGCTGATGCGAGCTGGAGTAATAAGAATCTATGCCCTTGTTTCAAAAAGCCCTCAGCCATTTCTCTGCATTTATATGTTACAAGTATGTTTGGACACCATTGTACACAACACTCTAAGGATGCAATATTGTGCATTGATTCTAAGGTCAACCTTAACATTCCTTTTGAGCACTCTGTAACGACTGTTGTAATAATGTATAGACAAGCTAGCAATCTTTAATCAGGCTATGTGAAACTGGTTCAGTCAGCTTTGGGAGGGGTGCTTGGTTGTGGGCTAGTTAGGGTCTTTTTTTTTTCCAGAGGACAATCATTGTCTGTCGTAGCCTGCTAGACAGTGGGGTTGTGCTAGTGCTCCAGAGAAACATTTCAGTAACCCACAGGTGTACACATTCCCAGTGAGAGAATAGGCCTCTTTATCACTTGCTAGCTATATGGAAAACTCGCATTTGCTGCTACATTATCTAGCTAACTGCTACTCCAGTTCCTTGAATTTTTTGGATTTACATAAATGTATACATGACAATCTGTCCTCTAAGAGGGAAGAAAAAAACATGACCAACAAGCACTATTTACGTAAAAGCAGGTTTGAACCTGATTTGAATATCTTGGTAACAGACACAAGACTCAGAGCAACTGAGTTTCAAGGCAAGCAAAGGTATTATGTACTATCATGTTTCTACCTTGTACGTAACTGTGGAACTACTGCAACTAGTACCACCTGCTGGACTTTAGTTTTACTGCACCCTACTAGTCAGGGCTTTGAATGTTCGCTTTTTACTATTTTAGCATTGTGTGGCAAAATGGAAGACCCTTAATTGACACAGCACAATGTTTTTGTGTTGAAAGCAACCCTCTTGAGATGCCGCTGTGGAAAGCAGTCACCAGTGCATTACATGTATAGACACACAAGAACATGTGCGCACATATAGAATGGTGGGTGCAACAAACCATTTGATCAATGCAGTATTCACCTCACAATTTTACCCATATCAAGGCAAATGCACGGTGCCAAAAAGTCTGTCCAGAGGACTTAAATACAGATAGTTATCTAAAAAATTACATTTCTCTTTTACAATGTAGTTAGTTGTTTGTTTACATAAACTTAAATCCAATTTTAAGAGCTCATACAAAAAAAAGTTTAGACTTAGATTACACATTCTCCTCTGGTGCTGTCTCTTCACCTAAAATCAGATGTCTAATAGTCTCCTCAGGACAAGCATTCCTTTTTTTGACAGAGATTTTTAGAACATTCCTTATTGGCTGGAGTCACTGGCTGCTGTTACAGCTTTCAAAATACCAGAAATTGACAGTTGTTTCATTAGCAAACATTCCAACTGACTTTTATTTCTTCCTCTTGTACTTATACTCACAACTTTTGTCCCAGCTCAGTCTTATAATTCCAAAAAGGTTACATTACATTTGAGAAAACTACAGTTATTTATGTTTGTTATATTGTTTGGACGAAACATTTTCTGATGTTGACGTTGCTTTATCTCATAGTCTCTACTATCGCTGCTTTGCATTCAGCTTTCTTTCACAGAGGAGTTAAGATGGAGGGATGAACAGTAGGCATGAAGAGAGGAGGGATGGTCCTTTCACTGGGTCATGTAAAGTTGGGACAAGTGGTTTCACTTGAATGACCCAATTCCCCACTGACAGTTAAAACATGGAGTTTCATGTCAAGCAAGCCCACATCAGTAGGCCAGTGGTCCAGTAGGCTGTCTGTAATAGTTGATTAAGGATGAACACTTCTCAGTGTCTCTTCCTGACAGTGATGTCAGTGATCAGATGAAGATTTCAGCATAAACCTCAAGAAATGCTGATAGTCAGGCATAAGTAATTCCCATGTTCCTAAAACCAGGATTTATGCTAACTGGAAGACCCTTTGTCCAGCCTAAAGTCATCAGTGCTACAGCTGAAGGTCACCTACCTTTTTCCTTTTTAAAGCAGTTCTAAAAACTGGCCGTGGCAGCTGCCTGCACACGTGCCAAACTTGGAAACTAGGTCACTGAACCTTTCATGCCCCCATTTTTTTCACAGATTAAAGAAAAAAAAATGCTGCTTTACACAAAGCTTACTAGACAGAGGAAACACGTGCAAACACCATAAACCAGTCCCGTCAGAGTGTTTAGGTATTGCTGAGGGGAAAAGTTGTCTTCAGGACCCAGCCGAGTCCTGCATAATCCTTAAAAGTACTGTTCTCGCAGTTCATCCAAGGCCATAACCCCTGGTAGTGTGTCAGTGACGCAAGATGATGTTATTAGGGGCCATTCCTATGTTACCACTCAAAGCCTTCAAGCTTCTTTTCTACCCTCCACCCTTGTTTCCTGTCTGTGTCACTCAGAGGCCGGTCCATGCCTGTCATTTGAGAAAGCTGATAATGACATAGACCCTTCAGGGTCTACATCATTCAAATATTAAATAAGCTGTTTGATTCATTAACCCTTTGAGCACTCTGGAGAAGCCTACACTAGGGAAAATAAGCTCTGATGAAGCAATTACGGACATGATTGTTAATATACATTAGCAATAATCGAAATGGCTGAGACAGTGTTACAGTTATGCAGTGAATATTTTATTTACATTTTTTGATGCAGTAACCATCTTTGAAATCCTGTTGGTTTTCGACTTGACTAAGAGGCAGCACATATACGGTACAATAAGCATCACTGTAACTGTAAGTGGTCAGCTAAGAACGCTAAAGTGACAAGATAATATAATGTCCCTTTTAAAGATTGAAAATGAAACCAAATAAAAACAAAACAGTTTAAGTGCCAGTGGTGCACAAAGGGTTAATGCACGACTACGGCCAGGAAAGGCCGGTATCCAGTTTCTTTTCTTTTTGCACATTGAAATATTTTAATATCAGTATTTTCTTTTTTTCCAAGTGCCTTTATTGTAGGTGAAATGTAGTACAAATACAGTATATGAAAAATAAATATATATAAATATAAATAAATAAATATATATATATATATATATATATATATATATATATATATACATACATTTTCCCAGCATCATGTTCTGAAGCCGAACATGCAGAATATCAGAGCTGTAAAAGTCTCCAATTGGTACAACATAGGTGTTTGTGCTCCTGTTTTAGAGGAATTTTATTACGATATTGATAATGACATCAATGAAAACAAATGAAACAAATGTTTAATAAAGTTGCATTTGATATATTGAACTCTACTGAGTCTTCTTTTCTGCTGATCAGGCCAGTCACTGGCTGACTGAAAATATGGGTGTGATCTACAAGAATACATTTAGTAAAACACTACAACTATGTCTTGCAAGGCAGATTCTAAACATGCAAGTTCATATGAATTCACTCTGTATTGCATGCAGTACCACTCATCGTAAAAAATTTTATATATTAAGAAAAGATGTATATATTAAATAAGAGCCCTGCAATTGGCTGGCAACCTGTCCAGGGTGTATCCTGCCTTCTGCCTAATGACAGCTGGGATAGGATACAGCACCCCACCGCGACGCAGAAGGATAAGCAGTTTAGATGATGTGTGAGATATTAAATCAGAATTGGAAGATATTCCAGTATAAAAGTAAATACCAGTGTGATATTGTGCCATGATATGGATTTTACCCTACTGGGGGTACTGTGACAAAACGCTGTGAAAAATGTATACATGAAATACTTATTCTAAGCACAACTAAAAACAAACTTCGCAGAAACAGCCTTTACTTTCCATTGTTTTGTACATAGAACTCTATATGCTCTAGTGCAGAGCAGTAAACAAATGTGGAATAGTGAACTTTGTTAGATGCAGTAAACTGTTAAACATTTTAGGGACCAGAGTTGAAATCAGATTTGAAGATGGAAGATGTAAAAACAAACAGGGTTGAGGTTGAAGGAGACAATTGTATTGTAATACAGTTGTGATATCTTGATATAAATAATTAATCTCATGATGTAATGAATGCCGTCACAAACACTGTATCTAGAAGACTGAAGAAGCAAGACTACACATGATAAAGAAAAGAACAAGGCTTTAATGGAACCAGAACATTATTTACAGAGGAAAGACTGAAATGACTGAAAAGACTCATGTTTGTTCCTGTTGTTTCTGTTCTAGAGGATCTTGCTTCTGAATTTTTAGCTCCTCATCCAGGCGCTCCTTGGCCCTCACCACCTGCACAAGACATTAGACACTTAGACATGATCCAACACCCAAGACAGACAAACCTGTCTGCAACACTTGTAACATTTATTTCTATAAAAAAAAAAAATCCTTCGGAAGTCAATCTGTATATAATCGTAATACTTTCCATTACCTTCCTGTGAGGTTCAGAAAAAGCATTTAATGGCTGACTTAGGAAATACTGTCCCATGTTTGCATACCTTAGACTGCAAGTAGAAAGAGCCACCAACTGCTTTGTCGTTGACTTTAAACAAATGTTCATAATTCTGCAGAGAACACAGAAAGTTGGCCTCACTTTGTGGGTCTATTTAAATACACAGCTGAAAATGGTGTGTGATAGCTCATGTTTCATACGTGCTACACTAAGAACACTGGGCATATACCTTCTGGATTTCTTCTGGTTTCAGTGTAGAGACGTTCAAAATCTGCTGGGCTTCTTGAACGGTCATCCCAGTGAAGCTGGATGCTGCAGCAGACTGCTTACCTGCCCTCCCCCTCGCCTCTGCTGCAGCTTGGCTGGCTGCAAAGAGTGGAGATAACACAGGTGTTATCTAGACTGAAAACCTAATCTACAAAGACAAATGTAGTTGATTCAGAACTAGCTAGAAGTCAGCCATGCAGTCCTTAACTCACCTGCAAACTCTTGGCGTAAAGCTCGAGCAAATGCACGGCCCACCACTTGCACTCCAACTACCACAATCTGAGCGAGATACTTTGCCTATAACCAAGTAAGTTAGAGAAAAAAGAAAAAGGTTTCAGATGAATTAGTCTGCTACACCAACCACAACTTGAAAGCCTTCACATGTTCGTGAAGGCCTATAGTAAGGCCTGTAATATAATCTTTAATAAATAATATACATTAATGCATTGGCCTTAAAATACTATAGGATACTATACTTAGCTACATAAGATTCTGTAGAAAAAATCTTTGACAAACAATGGAACGGATACTATAGTATTACTGTAGTATCCTATATTTCACAAAAAACAAGAGTATACAATATTCTACTACATTATTATACTACATTTTATAGACAATACTATTGTATAGTAGACAATATAATTATTACAGGATCACATTAGAACACCACTGTATAGTATGCCTTAGAATACTAACGTATACTACACTTTCGACAACATATTATACTAGTATACTGCACTTTACAATAGACAACACGACTATTCTATGCATACTACAGTAAGGACGATATTCCGTTATAGCCTATCGTATGCTTGTAAAATGTTTTAAGGATCACGATTTAGCTTTAATCAGGCACCGTGAATTGTAATGAATAGTTTTACAATTTATCTATCGCGCCCAGCCGGAGACAGAGCAGACAGAAGCAAGCTCACCGCTATTTGTCTGACTCTGAACAGTCGTTTGCCAAAAAAGACCCTGAAAATGAGATATATTACTGTCTCAGCAAAACAACTTCATACTAAAGAACCTGATGTGTAATACTGAGAACGCTAGCGTTATATGATACTGATCAATTCAGTGACGATTTCAGACACGTCTATGGATAAAGGTTATGTTGACTTGGCCTAGCTTGATAAATATAAAATACGAAAACCGGGACATACCATCGTTCAGCCTTGTGTATCGTCCGTGTTAAAGTGAAACGCTGGCAGCTGCACTCACAACATAAATGTTTTCGCATGTGCCTCCATCAAGGTGAAGCACCCGGAGGCCATAACACTAACGACAGAGGAGAGCTTAGGCTTCGTATACTGAGCGACTCTACTGCCACCTCGTGCATGGAGGTCTTTGGTTTATAACCTTTCAGTCTTATAGAGCTCTAGTAAACCTCTACGCCTGTCACGTAGCTTACAAACGTACGATTTAGATTCTGTTAGATTCTTTTTTTCTCATTCTTATTAGTGATGATACGACACCGCTTCTTCTTTTCCAATACCAAAACGAAAAAAATATGTTGAAATCTTTACAAACAAGGCTGAAGTTGGCTTTCTATTCACCAGCTTTTCATTCGAATTTCCTGTCCCACTTTAAATGGTACTGCAATTACATTTTGACGCCTATAGGTGGCGCCTCTTAACACCGAGAATCGTATACGTTAATAAAATGCGGTGTAAACCTCTGAATAAAAAGAGAAATAAATATATAGTGACTGTCCACTTTAAAATTTGAACGGTATTTATTTCAGAATATGCGTAACGTATTTTATACCTCAGCATTATGCAACATTAAACAACAATAACTAAATAGGAGAAAATAGTAGAGTGTGGTTGTGCTTATTTGCAATGGACTTATCCAATTCTAAAAAGTCTTGCTGAATTATGATTTTCTTTTTTTTAAATATAAATAAGATTTTGTTTTGTTTTGTTTTGTTTTGTTTAATTCCTAGGCCCATGTTTCCTCATTCTCAAAACATCTCAATATTTGATAATTTTGTTTTAGACACAACATAACAGACTCTCAAAACTTTGAAGAAAAAGAAACTGTGTTTGTAGATTTTTTCTATAATGACCTTGTGCCCACAGCATGTGAGAAGATCTGAACAAACTGCATTTAATCCCTTGGGCATTATATCCTGATTGTCAAAACATCTCAAAAATCAGGTTCAAGATACAATAAACAAACTACTAGAATCCTGAAGAAGAATAATATTCTTAAAATGTTTCAGAAATCTGACAGTAGTGTTTAAGTCACAATATAACAGACTATCAAAATTGCGAAGAAGAAGAAGAAATTGTACAGTAGATTTCATTTATTTATTGATTGATTGATTGATTGTATTTACAATCACAAATCTGACTGTGAAGTTTAAGACACAATATGACAAAGTATCAGAATCCCAAAGAAAAAGAAAATTTTCCATAGAATTTTATTTTGTGACCCTGTGAATATAGCATGTGAGATTATACAATGCATGGGAAAATTGCATTTCTGCTTAAGCGCTAGGGCATTAATTCCTGATTTGCAAAATGTCTCAAAAATCTGACAATCAGGTTTAGGAAGCAATACCGCACACTATCAAAATTGTGAAGAAGAAGAATTTTTGCTGTAGTTTTTGTTTTGTTTTGTGGTTTATTTTTTATTAAATAAATAAATAATGACACTGTGGCATACAATGTGGATAAATTTCAGTTTAATTCCAACCTAAGAAGGAATTTTACTGTAGGACTGTTTTTATTATGACCCTATGAACATGGCACCTGAAACTGCAAATTACACTTTTGGCTTAATTTCTATTAATCCTGAAGAAGAAGAACTGTAGAATTCACTATGAACCTTTATGTGAGACTATGGTCATCTTACAATAAGGTTTATTGATTTTTCAGCTCTGGTCTTACCAGTAGTAGGACGTAATGTGGAAAAAATAATTATATCACTGAAAACAGATTGTAAAATCTTGTCAGCAGCTTGTCAGCAGCTGCTCACAAATAGTGAAGCAAAACAATATATGTGCTGGTGGCCTATATATCACTCAAAAATGTTAGCTGAATTCATGAAAATACCCTTTAATGAATATATGACGGAACAATTAAATCCGAGTGTTGTAAAATAAACTGAAAATGTGTTTTTATCATGAAAAAATAATATATAATGTAATGATATAATGATAAGTAAATGATAAGGGGACTTTGGGAACTGAATTTTGAGATATTAAAAAAAAATCTGTTTTCATAAATTAAAACCATTGGACAGAAAGAAAAAATGTGTGATTTGTCTACCTTGTCTTAATGAATGAATCTTCAGACGTTTGATGACCAAGAAGGAGGGCCAAAAGAGACACTTTTTAGGGGCATACAGTAGGTTAAATTATGTTTCACATTTCACAGGTAAGATTACTGAGACATTCTAACTGCCAGGGCTGACAGAAAACAGCTAAAAGTGCAATACACCCAATCTTTGTAGTCTTTCATGTAGTTTCATGTAGTAGTAAATAAAAAAAAGGCTACAGTAAAATATCTTCTTCTTCAGATTCTTGATTTTTTGATCTTATTCAGAATTATAAAAATTTGTTTCACTATGAGTTACACAGGGTTAAACATATGATTGTCA